TCGCCGGTCCAGCGCCCTCAGCCTCAGGATTGCGAATCTGTCTCTGTCTCTCTCCCTCTCTCCCTCTTCTTCATAGAAAGGCAGACCATCCACCTGCTCACCTTACAAACCGTTTATTTTCTGGTTCTGTCTTTTAGGATCCTGGGCAGCGAGGGCTACCGAGGCCTCGCAGATGCCAGCAGACGCCTCCCAGGACGCGGGACACGGGTGTCCCCAGGGGGCGACGCTCAGCTGGGACATCAACGACCCGCGGATGCCCCCGGTGAGTGCCCCCGAGTCCCGGAGCACGAACGCACCCAAATTCTTGCCGGGTCTCTGGAGCGCGCACATCTCAGAGGGCCTTGAAAGGTGCAGGGACTTCTGTGGGGCTCGGAGAGGCGTCTGCTCTGGGCGATTTCTTTGTGCCTCTCTGAAAACAGCTGGGAAGCAGCAAGAAGCGAACATCAGTCTCTCCCTTCCTGTAGTCAAGTGAGGTCCGGATGCCTCTCCCTTCGCTTTGCCTTAGTTAAAGAACAAATCAAATGTTTCTCTGTTGCCTACTTAGTTGAAATCCGAGAAAAAGTCAGGGAGAAACCTCAGCAGATGCAAATAGCGCCGATTCTTACACAGTCGAGCTGAGAGAGAGACTGTAAAGGGAGGAGACCCGAGCGGAAGACAGATGTGCAGACTGCTGGAGCGATGTGTTCAGAAGCGTTCTGCCCCTGCATGGAGCGGGCTCCACAGTCCCACCTGCTCACGGCTCACCTCTCTAATGACAATGAAATCATCACCCTTTTGCGGGTGAATTTGTTGTTTTGTTTGAAGGGTCTCACGTGCCAGAAATTAGGCTGTTATCCCTGGTTGTATTTTTAAAAAATTAAAACGAAAAGGTGAAAGTCCCAGGTGTAGATGGCGGCGGGGGTGGGGTGGGGGAGACGGGGGAGACCTGGCTGCTGTTTAACCTCTGCTACGTGCCAGGTGAGCTCTCCTTTCTTAGATACGCACGAGCTGCGCGTTCATTCGTGTCACTCGCAGGTGTACAGGCAGCCTACCTTGGAGTCGCGCCTCGAGGTTGTTGCAGGAGGATGGCTCGCTGTGAGCCCTCACAGGAAACAGTCTAATGTCACCTTTTAGAGAAGAATAGTGTCCAAACGATGGGACAGTGCTCATCTCTCAAGCATCAGCTAGGTTTCCTGGTGAATGGGAACAGTCCTTGTATCCACCCCCACTCCCAGTGGTTCTTATTCAGGGAGTAAGGGGAACAGACAGTGGCGCAAAAGGGAACTGTGGAAACGGCGGCGCAGCCCTGCTCTGGCTGGGGAGAGCCAAACTGGCCACGTGACCTTGAGAGCGCCCTTGAATTTCCCTGGGTCTCAGGCTGCTGGCCTGTCATCACAGTAGACAGAAATGGGATCTCAAGGCCAGTCCCGATTACTATCTGCCCTCTCCTCCCTGTGTGTCAGCGTGTGACACACACAGCTGATACACAGACCGAATGAAACCCATCTTGGATGTCTCTGCTCTTGTTTGGTTAAAACATACAGTTTGTGTGGCTTCGTCGCCAGTAGCCCTATCTCAGGAGTTGGTGGTGTAAGACTCGGGAGCCTAGTCGAAAGCCTGAAAGGGAAGCACTTTTCCCTCTTCTGGAAAATTGTTCGTTTGTTACTGCAACCCTTCAGTTGAAATATTCACTTTTAAAACAAAGATGTTTGCTTTGAAAACAAACTTAGTCACATCATCATATGTGGTGTTACAGCATCATGCATTTCATTTCTGCTTTACTTTAAACCAGTGTCTTGGCTTAGGTCCGTTGCAATGTTTCAAAGAAAAGTTAGTAATTAGTCATTAACTTTAGTATTACTATCAGTAATAATGATGATTTTGGTGATATCCTTGTGGTTTTGGAAATAAAATCATCCCTGGAATGTTATTACTGTTAGGGTAGAAAATACTAACAAGTCTGAATTGTCCACCTGAGAATCCCTTGGTTTTGTAAATGTTTGGTCTAATTTTCCTAGGGAGAAAGAGGGGGAAGAGTGGTAAGTGGTTTACTGTAGTGGTGATGCTCTTCTGACCCCTTATCGTAGCTGTCAAGCCAACGGGATGTGTCTTCTAGAACTTCCACGTAATGCCCAGCTGTGCCATCTGTCTCTGCTTCCTCATGAGAACTGCAGATTTGCATGACATGGCTTCACGGGCCATACTGTCTCCATCCCAAATGCTGGATTCTGCACTGCTGTGCAAAATCACCCATGGATAACACACAGAAGACTGTGTATAGCCATATCCCAACCGACTTAATAGTTACTATAATTTGAATTCTATGTAAATTTCCTGCCTTACAAGATATAATCCTTCTTTTGATTTTTCCCCCAGCTGTTTAAAAGTGTAAAACCCCAATTCCTGAAGTTGCTGTTTGAGGTAGCGTGATCCTTGGTGTGGTCTTTGTGAGATTTTGCCATGGTGTACCAGGGCCAGGGCCAGAAAGTGCAGAAGGTGATGGTGCACTCATCTTCAGATGCTTGCAAAATAGATCCTGGATTCAGGTGTGGCTCTATGAGCAAGTGAATATGCGGATAGAGGGCTGTATTACTGGCTTTGATGAATACATGAATCTTGTATTAGATGATGCAGAAGAAATTCATTCTAAAACAAAGTCAAGAAAACAACTGGGTCAGATCATGCTAAAAGGAGATAATATTACTCTGCTACAAATTGTTCCCAACGAGAAATGATCAGTGAATTAAGAAGACAGCAATGAAGTGAGGTGGCAATTATGATAACATGTGAAAAATGCAACTGTTGAAGTGGTTTGCCCTGGGAGTATTTGTAAAACATTTTTTCATATTGTTTTCATTTCCCTTATGTTATTACTGCTCTGGCAATAAATGTTGTAGGACTTAGGATTGTTTTTATTTAAAAAAATGTAAAACCCATTCTCATCTGGAGGCCACACAAAAACAAGGAGCAGGCTGGAGTTGGACAAGGGTCACTGGTCTACCAGCCACTGCCCTGAAGAGAACCTGGTAGACAGGAAGAGCTCGCTACTGGGTAATTTTATTTTAAACTTATGTACAAAAAAGACATTACTGCAGCATAAATAATGCATAAAACAAAGACCATCAGATATGAGTACTAAAGCAATGCTCAGTAATTTAGCTATGATTTAGTATTTGTGGATCCTTATTGAAGAATTTTAACTCCCATGTCCCTGGGTATGAGGAGTTGGTGCCCGCAGGCTCACCAACCCCAAAGCTTAATAAAAGAGCTATCATGTTTAGGGTCTGCTTCACAGAGCCTTTTCAAATGTACAGTTAGTCCAGGAGTGGAGCAGGAGCTGTTCCTGCTGCCCTAAGCTTGCTCCAGGCATCTGCAGATGTGACTGCCAGGCTTGTGACAGAGAACCGAGAGTTTCTGGAGAAAAAGAATTGACTTTGTAAAGATATTATCAAGGTAAGTTGCATTTCATTGATAGGATGTTCCAGTTATTTTTCACTCTGGTACACTGATACTTAGCTTGTAAAATCTGTCCAATATTTAAAGCCAAAACACAGTGGAATAACAAAGTCATAAGGAAGGAGCACAGTTCTGGAGTTGGACTGCCAGGGCTGAAACCCTAGAACCAGGTCTTGATAGTTGTGTGACTTCAGTGAAGTCAATCAACTTCTCTGGCCTCTTCCTGTTCTGTAAAATGGGCAGGGTAACTGTAACTTGGGCCCACTGTGGTGTGAAGGCCTGAGAATTAATGCCTGGACAGCATTTAAGAGGCAAGACCTACATTTACATGAGTCACTGTGGCCAGAAAGGCAGAGTGAGTGGTGTTTTCTAATAGCACAATTGGGGATTTTACATTTCTGCATTTTAAAAGTCCCCGTTTTTCTGAGCTTGGGGAAAGTGAAAAGCCGGGTGCCTGTGACTGGGCCTGGTGGAGCCTACCTTCCCTCTCCTCTCTTCCAGAAGCCGGCCCACTTCGACCACTTCCGGGAGTGGCCCGATGGCTATGTGCGCTTCATCTACAGCAGCACAGAGAAGAAGGCGCAGCGCCACCTGAGCGGCTGGGCCATGAGAAACACCAACAACCACAACGGCCACATCCTGAAGAAGTCGTGCCTGGGCGTGGTGGTGTGCGCCCGGGCCTGCGCCCTGCCCGATGGCTCTCGCCTACAGCTGCGCCCGGCCATCTGCGACAAGGCCCGGCTCAAGCAGCAGAGTGCGTGGGGCCCTGGCCGGTGGCCTGTTACTGCTTTACCCTCCTTGACCCGGTTGTTACTAATATCTCTGCCTCTGGTCTTTGCAGAGAAGGTTTGTCCCAACTGCCAGTCTGCTTTGGAGTTGATTCCTTGCCGAGGGCACAGCGGATATCCAGTCACTAATTTCTGGCGCCTTGATGGCAGTGCAATATTTTTTCAGGTAGGAAGGGTGAGGAGTGGGTATTTTAATTGTACCGTGGGGCCACCCACCCACCATCTGCTTTGGGAACCCAGGTTTAGACCAAATACAGCGGCCATGGCCAAAAAATGAGAGGGGAGCAGGTGGAGCACCCAGGGACTCTAGATTCCCGCAGTAGTTTATGCACCAGTGTCTCCAAGGGCCCCACGCAGGTAGCCAAGTCATGGTTTATTTATAGTTTATTGCAGATCATCTTTTAGGGTGTCTGTTATTTTGGTATTTTATTTTCAAGATTTTTTTCTCCATCATTTTGAAAAAAAAAAAAAACATCTTGGGTCTTGCGAAAGGTGTGATCGAGTTTTGACTGGCTTCCAACATAGCTAGCTTCCTTTAGAGGAACAGAGAGGGACCAGGGATTTAGCTCAGTGGTTCTGCCACCTGCCTCACAAGAGCAAGGTCCTGAGTTCAATCCCCAGTACAAAAAAAAAAAAAAAAAAAAAAAA